AGTTGGCTGACAGTAAGTTTTACAAGAGACGTGATCTATGTAGAAAAAGCATGACTCTGAGGCTTTAGCCTCTAATTAATCGCCCAGCTGCAAGAGATGGACGAATTATGCCTCGAATAGCACAGGTGGGGGGGCAGGGGTCTAGTGAAATACATGTGCCAGGAAGATAGCAGACGGATTCGGCTGGGCAAGAGGGAGACTTTGATAGGACCCAGAGAAGGACTACGTAACAATATGACAGACTCTTGTCAACATTCCCAGCACAAGGGTGAAAGGGGTGATAACGACAGTGTTGAGTGTGAAGCATTTTCATAAATGCCGCTCGAAAGAGCAAGGTAAAAATTGTGACGGGGAAGACATGATAAAAGAATATAGAAAATTTGAATAGGCCAGGGCAGAAGAGAAGATACCATAAATGTTTAGCACACGTTTGGTGAAAGGATCGGCTTCACTTGTTTCTTTGACGAGTTGTAATATGCTGCTACGAATGGCAAGACTCACTGACGATGCCGGCGAAATGTCTGGGAATGTACCACGTCCACGGTCATACTGTGGAAATAATGATGCATACAATGGACTCTGGACAAGGTGCGTTCCTCTAAGTCTTCCTATCAATATGATCGAGTTGCAAAAACAAGGTCAAACAACTTCTATACAACGAAAGGAGACTGCGACCACACCTTCGATTATAGTATACATTGCATAATTTAACTTATCCTACAAAGAGGTTGTTTGACCTTGTTTTCGCAACATGGTCATATTGGTAGGAAGACTCCTTGGAACGCACCTCTTCCGGGGTCCATTGTCTGCATGATCATTTCCAAAGTTGAACCGTGGACGTGGAACATTCCCAAACGTTTCGGGCCATTGTCTGCATGATCATTTCCAAAGTTGAACCGTGGACGTGGAACATTCCCAAACGTTTCGCCGGCATAGTCGGCATCGTCAGTGAGTATCGCCATCCTAAGCACCACACAGCTACTCGTCTTGAAGCCGATCCTTTGACCAAGCGTATGCTAAACAATTATGGTATCTCCCCTTCCGCCCTGGGTTATCTG